ACACTTTCCTCTGCTTTTTCATTCTGATCATAGAACTTATCTTGGCAGAGTCTCAACCATCCATCCTCGGACACAATTCATAGTTGTACAATGCTTTCGATTCTTCCAAGGAAAACTAACCATCACAAACAGGTACACCAATCATCTACAGATGCAGCCTCATCCCTGCTAGTAACAGCATTAAATGAGGGAAGAGATGTGATCATGGATGGCACTCTCTCTTGGGCACCATTTGTTGTGCAAACTATAACTATGACTAGATGCGTCCATCGCCATCGTTACCGCATGGGACCTGGTTATAGGGTGGCTGATGATGGAACTGTGACTGAAAACTATTGGGAACGAATGGAAGAAGTAGAACCAGAACAGAATGGAGGCAAAAAGAGAAAGCCATATAGGATAGAGCTGGTTGGAGTAGTATGTGATGCTTACCTTGCAGTGGTTAGAGGAATAAGGTAGTGATGGTGCAGCAGCAGTCTTTTCTTTCTGACAATCATACTCGCCTATTGATGACATCTAACTTTGAGTGTTAACAGGAGAGCCATCATGTGTAGAAGAGCAGTAAGAGTAAACTCTCAATTGAAGTCCCACAAGAGATTTGCTGAAGCATTTCTGACTTACTGTCAACTGGTAGACAATGCACGACTTTATGTAACAAATGCGTTGGGAGGCCCCCACAAGGTACACATATTTTCCCTTTTCCAGTGGCTACTAAATAGCTACCTGCTTCTTACCAATAAAGAAATAAATATATAAAAAGCTACCGGCTTCATGACTCAGATGCAAAATCTATTGTTTTCATATTAGCCTTAGCCGCTAGAGTTTCAAGCAAACAAATGTACTTGTAATTCTGAAACTCCCTTTCCATAAAACTATGTTTTCATGCCTCTTTTGCCCATTTAATTTTTCTGTTGCCATTCAGCATAATCAAATTATTAAGGCAAAATGAAAATGAATAACACACTTGTACCAATAAAGGTCAGTCTAGTTTGTAAGGATTTTATCCATAATTTACAAGGTCGTGTGATTAAATCTCACCGTCAATGTAAGGATCTTATTGGTGGATAATTTGAAAGTATCTTTATAATTGTTCTTTGATTATAAGGACATGCATTGGCTCTAGTAAGTCCTATGACCCAACTCAAGCAAATTTTTCTGTATAAAAAAATTGACACATTCAAGAAGGTTAAAGAAAAACAGTCTTTGGATATTTCTCTCTCTGATATGCTAAACATTTATATTTTTCTCTATGGTTGCTACTTTTTCTGTAGCTGACATGAGAATTGTTGTGTAGTTGATAGGATGGAAAGAGAGAGACAAGACACTGCTAGTTGATCCAGATGAAATTGACTGCTTGAAGAAGGTTGCCAAGTTGAACGCGGAAGCCAACTCCATACATGAACTTTACAAGCACCCTCACCCGGCTCGTCAAGCTGGATCAATATGGAAGGACATTGTGTTGTCGCCCACAAGGTTGAACATCCAGCAAGAGCTGAAGTATTCAATTCAAAAGGTTGAGAGTTTGAAATGACAACTTCATTAATTGGACTCACATTCCACCCTCAACTTTTGAGACACAAAAGGAAGCTTGAAAGCGGAGGGAGAAGAGCATCAGTTGGGAGCTCAACAAACATCCACTAGTTTAAAAAGGTCAACTAAGAAAAATTTACCCATGAAATTTAAAACTCGACCATTTCAATGTTGATTATATAGGATTATTAAAACTGGATAGTTCAAATTATTTTTCTGGGGTGGAGAATGCAGATACTGGAAAACACTAATTAGTTATGTATAGTACCCAAATCCTAATACGTAAGTTCATGACAAGCTAACTGACCAATCAAACTTAGGAGAAGATATTTTGCCGTTATCAGAACTTACTTTTTCTCGGCATGGACTTTCACCAATAGCTTACTGCTTTTACTACAAATTTAAATTAAAAAAAGTGCTTAAATAATTCGGTGTCAACTTTAAAGAATTCAATTACTATAGTTATCACACTTTTTCATACTCAATGCTAATAGTATTGTGGGTTTCTCATCCGCGGTCAATCAATGACTTTACTGACAGTTAGATATGTATACTCCTCATTCCACTATCCTTTCCATGTTCATCAGCTTGGAAGTAATTAAGAAGCATCTAAAAGTAGATTATAGTAATAAACGAGTGCTATCTTGCCTTGCAACTTACAAGTGCTTCACTTTTCAAGCTTTCATGTTTTGAACTTGAAATTTTGTGTTGAGTTTTGAGATTAGTATGATCTCGTGTTTGTTGTGCGTATACAAGTAGTTGATCAAAATTGAATTATCTTGGGGTTCATGTTCATTTATATTTATTCAACAATATTGTTATAAAAATAAGCGAAAATTAATTCACAATAGCTTATAATTTTCTTTAAGTTTAAATAAGGTTCCTATGATTTATTTTGTTTAAATTGAACCCTTACCCTCTGTTTGGATGGAACGAAAAGTTAAGAGAAAAGAAATGGAGAAAAGAGAAAATTAAAAAGAACATATTATCACTCATTATATTTGGATGGACGGGGAAAATAGAAAAATAATGAATAAATATCATAATAACTATAATACCCTTATATCAGTATATATCATATTAATGTAATCATTTTTGTAAAAATAAATTGACAGAAAAAATTATATTAAAATTAACATCATCAAATTAATTTAAAATCATATTAGTTGTTAAAAAAATGTAGAAAGCTAAAGATGCAAATCCTGTTTCTATTTTTTAAAATCAAATTAATTATATTAAAATCAATATCATCAAATCAAATTATATTAAAATTAGTTTTTAAAATTAAATTAGTTCTTAAAAGCTAAAGATATAAATTTTCATGGAGATCAAAATCTAATTGTTTGTGAGGAATTAATGTGGTTTTGGAAGTAAGAGTTGACTTTCAAAATCTCTCCACCTTTGGGGAGAAAGTTGGGAGGAAAATATGATGATTTCACACCTCATTTTCTTCCCAATTTTTTTTTCTCTCGCTTTTTCCTCTTCACCCATATAGGGAAAAATGCATTTTTTCTACTGTTTTCATTTAATGTTTTCTTTCCTCTCATGTTTTCTCTCCAACCAAACAAAATATTAAAGTTTGGTCTATTAAAAAACCTTGATCCTTCTCATTCAAGAAATTGAATGAGGGACTAACAGACTACATAACAAAGCAAGCAAGGTAGCTAGCGAGGTGGGTAAGAGGAATTGACAAGTAAAATGCTGCACCATGACGGCCACCTTTGGGTGCCCTTTCGATCAGATGGTAGTTTTTGTTGATCTTTACAGGTCAGTAGTTGATAGCTGGGGTGATAAAGGAAAGAAGAATGAGCGAATTAAAAGAAAATCTTGCACCATCTATCATGTTACAGAAATGCAATATAAAAATAGGTGCCATTGATGTCAAGAACATATAGACAGAAGAATCATTGCGTTGGTCCTCACAAATCCTGGCTCCTATCTATAGTTCCAACCTTAGGCAATTTTATTGAAGACCATCAAGGATGATTATGGTTTGGTATCATCAACCTATTGCCGAGGGGAAGGAAGAAGATTTTTTTTTTTTTTTGGGAAGAGGCTAAAGGATCATTCCATGATCTTATATCTTGTATGTGTTTGTGTGTGTGTGTAAAAGTACAGTGTTGTGGTGCTGTTCATTCTATGAAATAAATTATGCAAGACAGCAAGATTTTTTTATTACAAATGGAGGATGAAAAGAGGAACAAGAAGGTAATTAATTCACGTCCCTATAACTATGTTTTAAGGCCATAGTTCATGATAACTAAACATTTAGGAGGTGATTCCATAATAATACGATGTTAGTAATTGGAGGAGAGAGCATTTCAAGCCAATCTGTATATGTGTTTGCTTTTCTAAACATGTTAATATAGGAAATCTCACTCTCTTACATAAATATTTTCCTAATATTGTCTGCAACTCCTAAAATTAAGTGAGACCAATCTTAGATTTTATGAATGTTCTCTATGTCTTCCATTAAATCAGAAAACAGGTTAACTTTGCTTGATATCATTGTCTGTTGTTGTTTAAATGTTAGATCCTACCATCTATTTTTCAGTTATTCAAAATCTACCACCAACGCCTCGCAAGATTACTGCTCTTTTTGTCATGGGAGAGAATATACGCAACATGTGGATGAATGTTATAAGAATCATGATAATCAATTCATGTAAAACCATTGAAAATAGTGACAACAACTATGCAAGATTGCAAGTGTTATATCTAGGCTTTTAACTTTCAAGTAGAGACGAAGAAATGGTACAAGGATATCGATCAATAGAAAAGAGACGACGGCAGAGGGAAGATGTGAGAAGGGATGAAATGAGAAGATGTTAAGAGGAGGTAGGAAATGAAGGAGTGGTAGAATAATTGAAGGTAAGCTTGGATAATTTGTTGGCTTGCTGTCATCTCTCTTACAATACCGTCAGCTTAATTATACCTAATTATAGATATTTTTACACCCGGGGTTTGAAGCTGTCCCAATAAATATTTTGGGCTACAAGATAAACTTTGTATTTTGAACTTCTCCTCTCTTAAATTTTATTACATATCAAACCTAATCTTTATCTTTATTTTTTTCTGGCATCAAAACATTTTTATTTAAATTGGTTTTTTTTTGTAAATGTTGTTGTTTCTATTGTTTCACTAAAACAAAAAACCGTGAAACGCACGGGATTAAGTTTGGTTAATCATATAAAATAAATCAATATCTATAGAGAACAAACAAACAAAAAATTATTGGCAAAAAAAAACAAACAAACAAAAATTTGTAAATGTACATTGGGGATTGGGCCCGTCGAGAGGGCTATAATCAATTCACAATACCTACGTCCAGGCTTTTAAAGGCGATGTAGCACACACAAAGGGAAGTTATTATGACCGTTTGGTTCGTTTCCTACTTTCCTTGCATCCTGATTCATTTCATGGAGTCATATAGTTCGGCCGGTCCCAAATTAAAGTCCAATTAACCCACGCAGATGAAATTGGGCTCAAAAAAGACCTAACCCATCATAGATTCAGTGACCCTATAAATAACCTCAGCCGTTGCCGCCACTCCGAAACCCTAGTCGTCCCTCAGAGCCGAGCAGGCGAGTTCTCCTATCAGCGCCTCAATCCTGTCGCTTGCAGCCATGGTAAAGCTCCTAACTCTCCTAAAACACCATTCTCCTCATGGGAAATGAAGGAAAATTACGTTTAGTTTTTAGAGAAGAAATCCATCTCTTTGGGCCCAATTTTCCTTCTCTTTCTTCCAGTTTCTGTTGAAGCGAGCGTGTTTTTAGCTTCCCCATGCCTACTCTCATTACTCACTATTATCTCTCTTTTTTTTTCTTGGTTACACCAGGCGGATGTTGAAACAGACGTCGCACCAGGACAGCCGAAGAAGAGAACGTTCAAGAAATTCAGTTTCAGAGGAGTCGATCTGGATGCACTCCTGGACATGTCTACTGACGAGCTTGTAAAGCTCTTCCATGCTCGCGCTCGTAGAAGGTGATTGATCCTGAGTATTCTCTCCACTGTATTTATCCAAATAGTCTGCTCACATTCTAGTCAACTGATGCTCTTGTGGTTGCCCGTTGCGTTTTATGTTTCGATTCAGGTTTCAACGTGGTTTGAAACGGAAGCCTATGGCATTGATCAAGAAGTTGCGTAAGGCGGTAAGTTATATTTTTTTATTCATCCAACAGTTTTTATGATTTACATGACAATTGTTTCCGATGTCTTGGTCGACATTGTTGGACATTAGAATGATTGATTTTACATTTATCTCAACGGGCAGCCTTCAATAGATAGTCATGCTTATATTTCTTTGTTATTTGTCAACAATTTAGCACGAAATGCTACATGTGTTAGCTGATTTTCAAGATTAGCATTTCGATATTCGAATGAATTGTCATTTTGTGAAGATGCATCTGGTACGTGCCAGTTGACCCACACTATGGGTATGTTCCAGACGACTTAAACTAAAGCATGAAATATTATGTTACATAGTTCACCTAAGCCCTGCCTTAATGCGATGAGACTACAATTGTTGTATATTTAAAAACAGCGGAAAATATATAGGAAGAGAGGGGACAGTTAATAGTCTAAGTCACTGAGGTAGTGACTGGTTCAACTAGGAAATATATTTTCTTATATTTGTCTCGAACGCACTTGTAACCCATGTTCAATTAGGTGAGGTGTTATTCATGGCTGGTGCCTCTCTCCCCATGAGATGAGAGGCACTGGGTTCAATCAGGCACTCATGAGGTTAATGCCTTTGGTGCCTTTTCTGTTAATCCAGAGTGCATCCTTGTTGCCGCTGTTTGCCCGCAATAAGAGAAGGGTTAGCTTGTAAGAAGAATAAGATAAAATAGGAAACTACAATGATCAACCTTAAAATTTAAACGCCAAGCCTGGGCATAAGAGATTTAAGGGAATATGATGAAATAGTTATTTCAAAGGATTATTTATTAATAATTTGAAATTTAAATTTTATGTGAAAAGTCACTTAACTAACACATGCCTCTATTTTTTTTTTTTTGGGTTATATCCTACTTATAGTTTAACTTAGGCCTTTGTTACAAGTCTCATATTGAGGCGCTTTACAAGGTAAGTGTGGTTGGTTTATATAAGCGTGAGGGGCTTTCTCACTCAATAGGCCAGTTTTTTGGAATTATTTATCTTTTCAGACTCTTGCTTGTAACATTGGTGCATTCGTTGAAGGGCTATTGTCAAGGAGAGGGCTACTTGCGACCCTCTTAGTGGAAGACTGAGTGAAGTGTTGTGAAGTGAAGTTGTTGTAGGTGTTGGCTCTCAAACGAGGGTCCGTTCTTGTGAGTCTCAAGGAGCCTTGCAGAAAAAGTGTGGTTTAAACTGTTTTTTTTTTGTTGGGGGTCTCTTTTACCTTAATAGGTTATTCTTTTGGTATGAGCTCTCCCTTTGAACCTATGCTCATAATGGTCTTGTATCTCTTAGCGTTTGCCTTTTTATCTCCTCTTGCAGAATACAATTAGTGGTTTACCTCCTTAGGCGTGCCCTTTGCCCTTGACCAACTTGCATTGTTTGAAAACATGGTCATGAGTAGCAATTTAGTTTCTCTAAGCTTCTGTTGTGCATTTGGGGGTGATCACTATATATGTAGTGGCTCTATGTATGTTGATGTGAATGGCTCATAGTTTCTAAATCAGACAGATGAAGCCTTTTCTGATGATTGATCAAATAACATACTGGCGTAGGTTTCTTCATTTTAAAATTAAAAGCTTCTGCATCTTCAGCCACTATTTTTCTCAATTAATTACTGATTTGTTAGAATTTCGTTAGCCCATGGATTGAGGAAAATGGAATTATGGCGTCCCATAAGCTCTTGTCACATTCCTTGCTGTGAGTTATATTGTTTATCCAAATTCTTTGGGATTGTGTCCTTGGGCTAATTTAAATTATGGTACTTATTGTGAGACAGAAACGGGAGGCCCCGCCTGGTGAAAAGCCAGAGCCAGTAAGGACTCACCTCCGCAACATGATTATTGTACCCGAAATGATTGGCAGCATTATTGGTGTTTACAATGGCAAGACCTTCAATCAAGTGGAGATTAAGCCTGAAATGATCGGTCACTATCTTGCCGAATTCTCAATCAGTTACAAACCCGTTAAGCATGGAAGGCCCGGTATCGGTGCGACTCACTCTTCAAGGTTCATTCCTCTTAAATGAAGACTACGAACTTGTCTCTTTTCTAGTTATGGAGAACTTTTCACTTGCTGTGCCCGAACTATTTATATAGTTTTTAGATGATTCTGCAATGCATTTTCTTTTATCGCTGAACCGAGCTATGGATGTTGTGCCCATGAAAAATTTAGTGAGCTTTCTGATTTCTTTTCCTCTTTGTCGGAATTAAGATATACTTGAATATGTTTTTGTTATGTTTGAAGAGAAAAACAACAAAATTTAACTGAGTTTTATAGATTCCTATTGTTAAACTTCTCAAAATTTTGAGCACTACGTTATAGCTCACCCTTGCACGTGATATTATGAAACAAGAATTCCTTCTCATGCCTCCGTCGTGTTAAGGCATCATTCAGGACTAGGTGTTTTTTTTTTTTGTTAATTGAAAAAAAAGTTACATAGGAAAGCTGAGGCTTGGAAAATAAAAGCTAGAAACTATATTCCAGAATCACGTCACAACAGCCGCGGAACGACCAATCAACCGGCTGTCCCTGGTCTGCATGGAACCTTTTCAAACAACCGGCAGGAACATAGTGAATGGGAACACCATCTCAGAACTGTCTCTGTAAGCTTCCTTGGCCATGAAGTCTGCACACGATGTTTTTCGCGACTAGAGTAGCATGTGGCAGCACCCCGGTCATCATAAATGATCTCGCGAATCTCAAAAGTATCAACTACCGCATAGGATGATCCAAGGGGTCACGACTTAACAAATTAAGAGCATCGATAGAATCTGAATAAAGCTTGATTTCTGGCAAATTGAGTTGTTTAGAAACCAACAACCCCGCCTTGATTGCCCTTAATTCCACGTCAGTAATAATACATAAACCCAAGTCATGTTGAAATCCCACGGTCCACTCGCCCTTGTCATCCCAGAGCACTCCTACATACATTGCATGGCGATTACATTGAGCTGAATTAGAGCTACATGAAAGACTAGACAGGATTATATTTTAGGCTTAATTTAAAATTTAGTCTTTTTCATAGAAAAACTGGGTTAAGTAATTCATAATTTGGTTTGATTCAGTGATAATTCAAAAATTAATAAGACCGGACTTGATTTATAGGACTTAAAGATTAATTTTGTTAGTCCAGTAATCACTTAACTTTTTCCCCTTTATGAAAGTCAATAATCCATTTTAATCTAATAAATTCAATTAAGATAATAAAAGCATTTATAATCATAATAAATTCCTAATAATTTCTAACAAGAAGAAAAAATATTTAGTTACAGTCTAAGTTGTTTAGGTTATTAAATTATTAGTTTGAGTGTGTGACCATGTAAGGAATCAAATTTGTTAAATCATTAATAGTCTTAATTTATTATTATAAATAATTAATAAATTAATAAATTAATTATAATTATATTAAATAAATTTAATAGGATTAGATTGGATCAAATGGTCCAAATACTCAATCTCCTCTTCAGTCAAACCTAAACAAATAGTCTGTCAATCTTAAAAGATTACTCCCTCCGATTCCATTTTAGAAGGTTCATTTAGTCTCATTTATAAGTCATGGTGCGTCTTTTTAGGTAATATTTGAGAGGCATTTTTAAAATTACCCTTGATGAGCGAGAAAAAGTAATAGGACATTACTTTTTAGATTTGCTATATAGAGACATATTTAGAATTTTACTTATTTTTATTCTTTATACTTTTATTGTATTGATATTAATGAGGTTAATAGAAATGACTTATAAATAAGGACCAGAGAGAGTATTTTTTTAACAGGACTTTTTTAGATCAGATTGGGATGACCACAGCCCTAAGCTGAACCATCAATGTCAACGCGAACAGAGTCGCGCGAGGGGCATGGCCAGAACTGTTCATGTGGCTGGAGACTGTGGAAGACCTGACGCGTAGGCTCATTGTTGACAGCACTTGCCAGAAGCATGAACTTGCATCTGTGAATGGAAGGCGGAATCTTCAAAGATAAACTCGAACCGCGACGTCCAGAGTAGCCAGCCAACAATTGCAAAAATTCTAGTCTAAGCCCGGGATTTCGTTCAGAATTAAGTCGTTACTGATAAGATTTCTTGGGGGAAAAAAGAGAGCGAGCTTTGCGAAGTCAATTATAGGGTTATTTGAGGGCAGTTGTGCCCTCGGAACGGATGCGTGACCGTACGTAATGATTGAATCTGAACCGCGATAAGGCATGTTCTCTACTGGGATGGTGTTGAAGATTTGGGCCTATGTTGTGAAATTGTTACCATGGGCTGTTATGTTGTCATATCTAATAGATAGTGTAGAGGGCTGGCATTGGTAGGATATTTAAGCCCGTTTAGTAAATTGTGGAAGAGAAACAGTATGAAAAGCGTGGAATCCCCTCATTACTCATAAGGCATGTAATGAATGTGTTTCTCATGAAAATAAATTGATTCCCAGTTGGGTTTGTTGGAATTGTGCTTAGTTCATGGGGAGGAAAGTTGTTAAGGGTAGATTGCTATTTACCTACTCAGCATTTGTTACCGAAGTAGCTCCTATTTGAACTTTTGAAGCGAAGTTACTGACCAAACCAGACCCCTCTGCCACCATCGTGGCTCATCCACCAACAACTCTGCAAGAAATAGGTTCACGGAGCTTCCTACTCTGCCCTGTAAACTTGTCTCTTACCTTCATACCCTGCCATCGTCACTCTCCCTCGCAGCCGTCTAGGGACTGAGTCCCCGGCTGACTCCAAGTGTCAATTTCAACTTCTTTTCAATCTTCATCAAGGATAATGTTTTTAAAAACGATTTTAAACCTTATTAGATAAATAAATTGTAAATAATGATTTAAGAAATCTTTCTAACAAGCATAGGACGAGAAACCATGTGGTATTTTATAACCATGGACCCCCGCGAGCATGACCTGCCGCCGCCCCTATGCTGTCCTTGATATTAGTATTCTTCTAAGATCTTTTGTCTTAAATATTCCAGACACCTTACCGGATCTCTGGTCATTAATTATTTCCCTTCCACGGAGAGTTTGCTCTTAGATCTGTTTGCCCTGCAATTAAGAGATACTGACATGTTTGTTTGATTTCATGCGAAATAAAGGGTGGGAAAAAATGATCTATTCTTAAAATTACACCAAGACCTTAAAATTTAGTGTACTTAATACTGTTGTTTTTGTTGTCGTCAAATTCAAGGTATAAAGCATAAACAATTTTTATTTGATTTTTTATAACATGCATGAAACAATAAAAAGTAGCATGATGAAGGGCAGAAAGAAGTATGTTATTTGATGTAAAATGGTATTTTTCTTTGGGAGTGTTTTTGCCTTTTGCTTTTCTGAAAAGTTATTTTCTACTATTCAATTTCATACACTTAATAAAGTTCATAAATTATAATGACATTTTATTCACTCTCTTGTACACGAAACATTTTCAGGGTTATGTGTAAAAAAAAAAAATTAGGGCTATAAATTGCATTCAAGTAGACGGCTTGCCGCCCTATTGGTTAAAACATTGGTTCAGCATATCCCAAATGAGGGTCTTCAGAATTGTTAATAAATGCGATGCTGCATGCTTCCTGCTTGATTCTCGTTTCTGGCAAGTCGCTGGGAAATCTAACCTAGTGTGGTGGTAGGCGGCTGGGGTTTTTTTTTTTTTTTTTGTTGGGGGGGGTGGTGGTTGGGGTAAAAAGGAGATTTTTGTTTTTAAAATTAAATTATTACATGGCAGGTTTCTCTTCGTTGTTTTTTCTTTTCATTACTCTTTCATTATAAATATAAACCATTTAAAATAAATAAATATTTTTAAAAATTATTAAATATAAATGATCTGATTTAATTTAACAAGTCTAGAATTGTAATAATTTCTCATTGTCCTTTTACACGGAGGAAGAAAGCCAAATTTGGATAAGGAAGGAGATGGGATTGTACCATTTGGCTGAAATAAAATGAGCAAAAATGGTGTTGATGTGATTGGGGAAAGAAGGAAGAGGAGTGGGCGGGGTCATGTCCACGCGGGAATGGGAGACTCGAATGAGATTAGTCTAAGTCATGCGTGAGGGTGAGGCTCAGGCTCAGCCGCCGTCTCTATCTCTTTCTCCCTCTTCCTCCCTTATCCACGTGCTCTAGCCTGCCCTATGCTTTGGTGGGGGCCTCCCACGTGTTTCATGTTGGTCACTTCCTCTACATGACGCTCCTCCCCGAGTCATGAATCAACGGAGCTGGCTGCCTTGGTCATTATGAGTCTGGCACCTCAGCGCAAAGACATTTAATTTGCTCAAGCGTGTCCAGCGACTAGCGGCTAGTCAATAGACATAATCAAAGTGATGAAGCGTTCCAAGATACTGATGAGGTCAGTTTCATTGAAAGTGGGGTCCGTTAGGAGAGAAGGGATTGCGGACCTCATCATGGCATCATTGCTCCTAAGTTTGAACAAAGCAGAAAGCAATAAACCCCTCACTCTAACTGCACCTCCTGCCACCTTCTGCTCTCCCTAGTATTCCGTTTCTCCGGATTCATCCATTCCTTTTTCCTCCCACCTCATCCTCCCCCGTCCCACCCCTCCCCACCACACATAATTATAGATTTAGCACCTACTGCTTCACTGCCCCGTAATTTTTTTCTGTCCTGTTTCAAGCTTTGCTTGCCTTGTCAACTCAAACCGAAAAAACAAAAAGAACAAATAAAAAAAGAGAGGAGAAGTGATATTGAGAAAGAAAAGAGGAAAAATAACTTTTTCTTCACAGGTAAACCTGGGGTGTGGCGCTGGCATGACCAGAACCTTCCAGCAAGAGGACGAGGAGAAATAAAGAACGTGGAACATGGAAAATCCTCAACTCTAGCAAGATACCATCAAACGTGCAGGACGACTTTGGCCTCCTCACGCGCCGCGTACTTTAATCCATCCATCGTCTCATTAATTACGACCTTTCCTCTTTCTATTTTCATTTATTTGCTATTTGACCGCCCTGGGCCCCTAATAAGAATGCCCTCCGAATCCGAATTCTAATTCTAATCCTTATTTTGTCCACCAATCCAATCCCCAACCCTGTCGGCGTTAACCCCGACTGTCTCCTCTCCTATTTATACCCTTCAAACCCTAACATTCTCTTTCAACTCTCTATTCTTAAGACTCGACTCTCCCCCACTTCCCCAACACCCATGGCTGTCGACGCCCTCCAACTTCGTCGTCATTCTCTCTCCGGACCTCCCTCCGATCCTCCTCCGCTCCCTCCCAAGGCCGTCCGTTTCGGCGGTGTCGCCTCTAAGGAGGCGCATTTTAGAGGCGTGCGTAAGCGTCCCTGGGGCCGCTTCGCCGCGGAGATCCGCGATCCCTGGAAGAAGACCCGAAGGTGGCTCGGAACCTTCGATACCGCCGAGGAGGCTGCTCGGGCCTACGATGAGGCTGCCAGGAGTCTTCGTGGACCCAGGGCAAAGACGAACTTCATCTATGCCGCTGTGCCTGTCGCTCCGTCGGTCCCAATGCCACCGGTGGCAGCTTCCACGGCTAGTGGCGGTGATCGAGATAGCGGGCAGATGTTGGGGAGGCGCGTGGAGTTTTGGAGGCCTCCGTTGCATTGCGTGGCGGATGCTACGGTGGGAGTGCCGGTGAGATCGGAGTACAAGGGATACAAGTTGGAGAATGTGGATGTGGTGGTGAGCGAGGAGAGAAAGTTGCGGAAACAGGAGAAACCGTTAATGCTCGATCTTAACCAACCACCGCCACTCTTCTGAGGCCTTTCGATGCTGTCAGGACAGCGTTATGATCTAGGCTTCTTGACGGTTGGCGATAAGGACTTCGAAGATCTTTGATTTTTTTTTTTTTTTGGGCGAATGACTGGGGGTTGAGTATTGCCCTGGTGATGTACAGTAGAAAGTGCAGGATTTTGTAAACGGGAGTCATTGTAACCTGAATCAAAGGTCCAAATGCATATGTATCTACTATATGTATGTATGTATGTATTGCCCTGAGTTTATCATCACAACGCTGTTTCGTTTGTGTCTATTTGTTCATTATTATAATCCGTTTTGGTCCTGCCAACTGAAAAGCTACATAGGACGAAAATTTGTATAGTTGAAGGATGGAAGCTAAATTTGCTGAAGAAAGTGGGATCTGGCTTCATAGTTCATGGAGGAAGACAGCAAGTCACGGACTTCTCATTTCCTTTTGTTTTGACCAAAATTAATGGAACTGATTTTGGCATGGACTCATGCCTTCTGAAAGGGGGACCAGGTAAAATCAACGGTAGATCGGGTCGTAGCCTGTAACGTCACTCGTGGCGCCTCATTTTCATGACTAATAAACGATCGGGCTTACTTTACGCACGTAGAAAATATTTTTATGATGGGACTGTAAATGACGCGTATTACGACTCTTATTGATGATAAATTTTTTCTGTAGCTAACGTAATGCGTCTTTGGCCTTTAAAAAAAAAAAAAATAGGGAGAGAGAGAGTGAGTAATGAGTACGATGCCAAAATGACGGGGGAAACATAAGACAATTAGACTGGGAGTCATAGCAAGAATTTAGTCATGACTCATGAGCCATGGTGCGGCCAATACGAAGCATTGTTATTCTTTACCCGTTATATCTGTCCTCAAAACAAACCGTGTAAATAAAGGTATGACTGGGAATATTGGAATCTTGGAAGACCGGTGGTATTACAAGTAAGGATGGATAATTTTGTTGGGGGTGAATTTTGCTATGAAGGAGATGGCCCATAATGGGGAAGATGTCGTGACCTTTTGTTAGGCATAGCTGGCCGTAATAAAATTGTTACTGCAGTTATATATATTTTTTGCCCAGGAGTTTTTTGGGAGCTGATTGAAGGAGCGTGAGCAACGGCGTTAGTTTTTGTGGAAGGATTATGGGTCTGAGTGTCCAAGCAGAAATTGATTTTAAAGAGAATTATTTTTAATTGAATAATTCAATCAAATATTCCTCTGTTAAAAAATATAAAATATTTTTATGAGTTAAATGTTAAAAAATATAAAATATTTTAAACTTTTAAAGTATAATCATTATCTTTTTTTTAAAAAAATATTCATATTAATTAATGACTTTACATTTATTGTAGGGTATTTAATAAGAATAAATATAAAAAAATAAAATTAATTTAAAAATATATAATTATTTTATTAAAGTGTGAGATTTTAATTAAAAATGTCTTATATTTTTTAATGAAAAGATTAATTATTAAAATTTAAAAGGTTGTGTTTGGAAGGAAGAGTTGTGAATGGAGAAGGGAGGGAGAGAAGAAAGGAAAGAGGAAAGGAGGGGGTGCGGCGCCCACAGGCAAGAGATTGATATTATAAAATTTAAAATAAAAATATCATTTAATTTTAATTTTCTACACCATGGATGCCCAACAAAGCAGCAGCCAGCAGTCAAGCGTTCCATAGCGCCCATGACATGCGGAAGCCTCCCGACCTGTCACCCGCTGCTATTCTCTCCGCCTCCCGACACTCCATAAACTCGATTTCAACTCAGGATGTTCATGCTTTGGTTTGGTTTTGTGAAGAATCAAGTCGATTGATTCACCGTAGTTTGATATCCATTCAGTTTTTATAATCCATTGATATCCTTCCTAGTCATCCATATGTAACTATTAAATATCAATATATTATATTTTAAATACTTGATTCTATAATTTGAAAAGTATCACAAAAATTCATAGATAGCATTTAACTAATTGTAATATATTGTTATTAATAATTTACACATAATTAAACTTGAGAAAGAAAAAAATAATAATAAATATAATAAAATTTTGTTCTGTTTAGTTGAAGATTCCAAAATTAAAAACCTGAATAAAATTGAACAAATCGATTTTATCAAAAGAAAAATCAAATCAAACCTCATTTATAATCAGTTTTAATTGCTTCATGTTGCTTTTGTCTGGCTTGATTTAATATAATCTGCTTGGATTGCTTTTGAGCACCCTTAATTTTAACAACTAATTAAAAAAAAAAAAATCAAACCAGCACAAAAATTATATAAATTTATTTGTAAAACTAAATGGTAAATAGTACACTATTATTTTTTTAGAAATTTATGTTTAAATTTAGAAAATTTAAATGTAAATATTGAAGTAAAAATATTGTGAGAGGTTAACTTTAAGTCTCCAATTTTTAAATTATAAACATTAAAGCATTCCTATTTCAACAAATTTTAAGAGATCCCATGGTATCTTAACAAATTATAGGAATTGTTATAAATAAGTCCCATGTTTTGGACTTTGAATTGGCCATTCAAGGTTGACTACCACAAGCCAATGGAATTTCAGTTTTCATTGGTGCAAAAGTCAATCTACAATAAATATTTTGACTGATATTTATTTAATGCTGTAGTTAGCATTAAGAAGAGCAACATCATTGCTGGGTGAGATTGTTGAAGGTTCTGTGCTTATGGTAAGCTGGTCCCAACAACGAATGATTATTTTGGCCCAATGGGCGTGCCCACCAATCTCATTGGAAACCTCAACAATTGCAACTTTTTTTCAAGGGGAAATGGTGGTGTTGGTTTTCTTGATAAACCTACAGTTAGTGTTTGAGGCCCCAAAGTGGCTCAATAAAGACGAAGAGGGATGTAGCTTGTCATGGTTTGATTTGTTAATTAAAGTTAAAAACTTCCATAACATTAGGGGCAGGGGAGCAACGTCACTCGGACTAGGCAATCCGATGCCGCCCAACCTGAAATACTTGGGTATCTCACAGGTAAGGTTGGACAACGGGTGGCAAAATGCAACCAGTTCATCTTCCCAGCTGAGCATCAAGCATAGCCTACCAAATCCAGCCTTGCCCCCATGTGCAGCCTTAGGCTAATCCACAATCTCGCGAATGACTATCAATAGCAAGAAAAACATCAGAGAGTGGATGAAAACATGAGGACATGGCAAGCTGGTGCCGAGTTTCAAGGGATTTACAACGTGACAAGCTCCAGCCAGCACCTATAAATAGACACAGGAGAAGGACTGAAGGAGAGATGGGGCATCAATCATCTTTAGACTCACTCGTCGTGAATCATCATGAGTCTTAGCCTCTAGGCATTTAATTAATCTCCACAATTCTCGAAATCATTTGGTTTTTCTTGTAGCTTGTTTAGAATTTATTTTTTCAGAGTCCTATTGTACAACTTTCTTAACTCGCAGACCCTTTATTGTATTAAATTATTTTCTTTTCATTGTCTTTACCTTCTAAATCGCACCTTAGCATCCAAGTACTTGCGGTAAGGGACTCCGGAAACCACATTTGAGTCCGATTTAGCCCCTGGCATGCCTTACAAACTTTTGTCAAATAGTTAGTAATGGAAACCTTTGAATAATTAATTCCCGTCTTTATTTAGAACTGCTGTTTAGCCTCCCGCTAACAGTGTTTATTCCATCCAAGGTCACACAACTCTGCAGCAATCATCATCAATTTGTTGAAACTTGGCTCCAATCTCATCCATCCTGCGTTAGAATTACACCACCATCCACGTTGCTTTCTTTTCTTTTCTTTTCTTTTATCTCTCTCTTCCGTCCAAATCCGAAACTGCATTACTCACTACATCGCCACTAATCACACAAAACCCCACCCCACCTACAATCCCACCCCAAAATCCCACATCTTATCTTCAAGTGGAAGCTTACTCGATAATCATTTCATTCTTCGGGTACTTCAACTTTCTACTTTTGTTTTGTTTTTTGTTTTTTTTTTTTTGAGCTTGTCTTTCCAGGTCACGGCTTCTACATTATATTATTAATTGATTTGAAAGAAAAATATATTACATATTATATACCTACGTATGCATATTTTATCACTAGAGAATTCGATGACGACCGAATGAAAGATTGAATCAGATATTTTTCTTATAATCTTCGCCCCCATCAACTGAATGGGTTCCGAGTGTAAGTTTACGAGTAGATGCCTTATTCCAAATGCAACCATGAAGCCAAGTATATGTACCAAAAAATGGGTGAACAGTTGAGTGGTGCCGAGAGAGATTACAGAGGGCAAAAGAGCGATTTGATTCTCAAATAATATTGACAACAGTTGGTATTGGACCCCGGAGAACTAATGATGGAGCATGACTGCCCATATTGGTCCCCTTGAGACTCACATGCCCTGCCCGTTAACTTTCACAGCTTCAAACCAACTGAGTAAGCAGACACAACAGATTGGGAAAAACTCCTTGCATGGATTGACTTTCAAATCTAGTAAAGTCTTGGCTTTTAGCTCACCTGGCTTAACCATCCCAAATTTCGCATTTACATCTATAAACCCAGAAACCGGCTTGATCTGGGCACTTGGCAGCTTGATGGTCCTAACCATCCTTTACTTACAAAGTGGAACACCTAACACAGAAATATTGGTTGGGTACATATTTAGACCAAGAGAACTAAAATTAAACGGCAGTTATAACGGTACTCCACAAACAATATTTTTTACCATTTGGAAAGGCATTTCATTCATCAAGAAAACCCTAGTGATGTTTATAACATGAAAGATAAAAATGGTCCCTTCAAATCGAAACTACCCAATTTTACATTCTTTTTTCCTGGATCATTGATCCTCATCCCCTGCTTTCCAACTAAACGGCGCATCAGCCAGCTAAGCAAGATTGAAAAAACTGTGCTGAGAACATCCCTGCTTGCACAGCTCAAAATATGTACAGCAGCATCTGAAACCAGTGAGAGAGACAAAATTCAATGTTGGGCTCGCTTGATCTAGGTTAAGCTCTCTATGGTCATGCATTTGCAGGTTGTGTTGGTATTTTAGGGTGGTTATGCTCGCCTTCATAGGTAACAATTAGCATGGAAGGTTCTTCCAGGCACCTCTCAACATGCTTCCTAGCAGGGCAACCCCTCATGCTGCTGCACTTATAGTATCCTCTGAACAAAGCAATTCTAGTCAATTTCCTCAGAAATAAACATCGCAGCACATACATTCTCTAAAATTAAACATGAAACTGGAAATCAAAGTTAATCAGTCACTTGTATATATTCCACATCCATGATTGTCTACCTCCATCTTACATTAGATTGCTGCTGAAGAACAAATAATCATTAGCCTAACTCGATCCCTACATACTGGGGTCTGTGTTGACACCACTAAAATGATAAAGTTAATTTTTCAAACATGCCAGTAGAAACAAAACTATGAGAAAATCTAAATGGATTTATTTCTAGTTTGGATCCACAACACAGTTCCATATGGCACTGTGGATATGAGATTTGAACTGAGATCATGAGATGGGTGACATAGCATTAGGCACCCGAACAAATGATGAAATTGATCATCATCTCATCTGCCGCAATACTTCTCCAGAACAAATGCTCATATGCACATGCTTTTCCAACTCTCATTGAAGCATTAACATAATAACCACAAAAAACACGCCCAGAAATAACGAAATCGAAGATGCAAGGGCACATTATCTACTCTTTCGCTGCAAGAGGAGCAAACTCCATATAGCAATCCAAACATCATAGTACTCAAAACTGACCAACTGTTTATCAATTCAACAAAATTATCGATATAACACAAATAGTTCAAATAAATGTCACAGAGCAGTGCTTCAAAATACCTAGGGTGAGGAGAGCCCTTGATTGGCTTCTGTCCATACTTTCTCCATGAATAATCATCAGGGGGAATATCTGCAAGCTTGTTGCTGATAGCAGGAACCTTAATTGATCTCTTTACTCTGTTTTCCTGCGGATAAACACCAGTTAAATTAAAGGTGCATGGTAAAGAAATCTAAATCTTTCCAGGAACAGATGTTAGAGCAGGTGACAAATACCGGAAACTCAAAAAAAGATAACAATCAAGGACTGTAGAAAGAAGTCTAACCTCTTCTTTGAGCAGTGGCATCTGGTACTGCTGCTCCCACACTTGGCGCTGCCCTCATCTCTGCCAGAACACTTTCTTTTATGCTGTAGAGAATTCTGATCTGAAGAGAGAGGAGCACCGATTAAATGAAAGGCACTTCCATCCATGTTAGCTACGCTTCCATCTATGCTCAAAGAAGAAATAAAAGACCTAGTTGAAGACATTGTAGGTGTACAGCTAGAGCTATCAAAATTCAGATTTATGCCACTATTGTTCCTTCGGTACATCAAATCTGCCTGGTATTTCATCTGCTGTTGATGCTGCTGCAGCAATAACCTTTGTTGCTGCTGCTGAACGAGTTGATAGTGCTGTGAAGATGCTTGTTGGGTGAGCTGGAGAGGACTTTTCCCACTTGAGCTCAATTCCAGCAATGGATTTCGCAGGGAGAGCGAATTTCTCAATTCCTGAATTGACTCGTCCCTAAAGCTGTTTTGGGGAAATTGCAAGTTCTTTGATTGATAATTTGTTCTACAATTAGGGATGTCCAAGAGTGCGCTTTGAGGAATAGGAATTTGAAGTCTGTTGAGTTTCCTGACTCTTGCATGACCCAAACCGTTACTGAGCAGAGAAACAACTTTCTTGAACTTCCCCACAGCCTCCTCAGCTTCTACCCTTAAGTTCCGATGCTGAAATTGATCTTGGGGGTGAGACAACAAGTTTAGAAACTTATGACAGCTTTCAACAGCTGCTCTGTTAGTTTCTTCAACCTCTTCCATCTTAGCCTCTATCTGCCTAAAAGGTGAAAGAGAAGAAGACAAAACCTAATTGCCCAGAGAACAGAGAGGCAGAAACGTAAGACAAATACTGCAGAAAACTAGAAAATCCCATTTATCAGCAGATACACCAGACATTCGACCATGCGCGAGGGATAAAAGGACCCAGATAGACAAAAGCCCATTTTCATCACACACGCAGCCAAATTAGGGATTGTGATTGATTCATTTCATCAAATAATTGGTTTTTCAGAGAAAAATAGACAAAGAGATCAGAACCAACTGGGTCTGCTAAATTGATGCAAACCACCAAATAGAGGTCACGACATATCTGCGCCCACTCAGTACACCCAATTTCCAGTGAAAATAATAATAAAAGCACCAAAGCACGGACCTTGCAGGACTTGGTGCTGTCAAACCCTAGATTCTCCAACCAAGGTCATGAGATTGATGTGTGAAAGAGGACTTTGCTTGACTTGAGAATTCACACCACGATGAGAATACAAAGCCGCAAACTTTGAGTATATTAAATTAAAATTCTGCTCACTATTCTCTCCACCAAAAAGGAAAAAAATTATGTACTCCTAAACAATATCATTAATTGGACTAGGTAGACAAACGAGAGGGAAAAGAGAAACTAGTTGGGGAAAAAAAAAAGGAACAAAAAGAAAAACCAGAGAGAGAGAGGGGAATTTAAACAAGGGAAGGCTGGAGACTGGAGAAGAATGAAAGTGCCGTCTCTGTCAAAGATTTGAAAGGGTCCCACGCGAAGACCATTGTTATTCTTCCCTTCCCCACCTTCAGCCTTAATTAAATATGTTCAAGACTTACGCCCACCACCTTCCCCTCTCGAAAAATTTTAACTAAGGATTAAGAGAGATAAATATCTATCAGGAAGTTTTAAGAAATCTGCAGAATTTTTGAATTGAACTAAAATAAAATAGATCACTGAAAAAACTAAAACGCTCTTCTGCAAAAGATAAAAAAAAAGGATTGATAACTGATATTAATAAATTAATAATTAAAGTTAGAGGGTCTCAAACGAAAAAGACCTTAAAATGAAAAATGGTCTCAAACGGGCTGGCCTATTTAGGTCCTAATTTAAATGGGCTGGCCCTAAAAGGCTGAGGGCCAGCCCATTTAAGCCCTTGAAATCTTTTTTTATTATGAATATAATGAGTGAAAGATTAGTGGGCTGGATAAAAATTGTATAAGTTGGAGCCCATATTTAGTTATTTACTAAAGGACAAAAGGAGGAAGTTTAAAAAAAAAAAGCCAACCCTAAGTTCTTGCTCTCAGAATCTCAGTCTCATTTTCGTCAGTCTCACTGTCTCAATGTGTGGCTTCGTATCTTGCGCAGTGGGTGGCCGGTGGCAGTGGTAGACGGCGATCTTTCTCTTTCAAACTTCATTCTTTGATCTTTCTAACTATCTTGAGGCTCTCATCTTGTTTTCACCTCGCTCTGGCTCTCGTCTGTTGCTGTAGTAGCTCCACTGTCGATCGTTGTCAAATCTGCATTCCTAATCTTGTTCTCAGTCTCACTTTCCTTAGTTTGTGGCTTCGTGCGCAGTGGGTGGCAGTCATCTTTCTCTTTCAATCTTTGATCTTTCTGACAAGCTGAAGACTTGAGGCTCTCATCTCGCTCTCATCCATTGCTGTAGTAGCTCCAGGCTCGAATCAACGTCATCTGATCTACATTCCAAGCTACTAGCTGTTGTGTTTTTTGCACAGCTCTCTATCGTTCGATCTCCCTCCTCAGCTTGAATCAAAGTTCAAGTGTTGTAGTTCTAATCCCCACCATGGCATTGATCTTCCACTGTCTTACTGTTACTGTCGAGGTCGTGCAATGAGTTCTCTTTTGCTTGCGTGTTCTCTGATATATTAAACTAAAAACTAAAAGGTCCAGAGGTAAGTCATGTTCTTCTATTCAAGAGACCAATAAATCCAAGTCTAAAAAGGCTAGAACTTTAACATCTAATGTTTGGAAGTATTTTACTAGAATTGAGGTTAATGGAAAACCTAAAGCAAGGTGTAATGGCTGTCAAACTTTACTAGCATCCGGTGGGACTAATGGTGCTTCACATTTAAATAGGCATGCTAGATCTTGTAAAGTTTTGGACAAATTTCATGATATTGGAGTGATGTTATTGGATAAAGAAGACAATATTAGGTGTTGAAAAATTAATAATATGTGAATTCGGAGGATTATAACTATGGCCATAGTTGAACATGATCTTTCTTATTCCTTTATTGAATACAGGTGGATCAAAGAACTACTTTTGACATTGAATCCCGATGTTAGGCTTTTTACTAGAAAAACTACTATTACTGATGTTATGAAATTCTTCCTTCGACAAAAAAAAATTGAAACAAAAGTTGAAGAGAAGTAATAGTAAAATTTGTTTGACATCTGATTGTTGGACTTCTGTGAGTTCTAAAGGGTATATTTGTTTGACAGCTCATTTTGTGGATGAAAGGTAGAAATTATGTAGTAAAATACTTTTATTTTGTAAAATGGAACCTCCACATTTTGGGATAAAGCTAGCTAGAAAAGTGCATGAATGTTTGACTGATTGGGGGATTGAGAATAGAATATTCTCCATTACTTTAGACAATGCATCTGCAAATAATAATATGCGGGACATATTGAAAGAGAGGTTGAGTTTGCAAGATGATTTCAAATTAGTGAGTAATGGAGAATTTTTTCACGTGAGATGTTGTGCTCATATCCTAAACTTGATAGTTCATGAGGGTTTGAAAGTTACAAGTTCTACTTTGCATAAGATTAGAGAAAGTATTAAATTTGTGAAAGCATCAGAGGCAAGGTCAATTCTTTTTAAAAAATGTGTTAAGCAAGTTGGTAGCATTGATACCTCAATGGGCTTACGGCTAGATGTGCCCACTAGATAGAATTCCACTTACATAATACTTGAAAGTGAAATTAAATATCGTTGTGCTTTTGCACACATGGCTGTCAATGAAACAAATTACAAATTTGGTCTCACAAATGATGAGTAGGCTAGAGCAGATGCAATGTGTAGTTTCTTGAGGCCATTTGAGAAGATTACAAGGTTGATTTCTGGGTCATCATATCCTACGTCAAACTCTTATTTTATGCAAATTTCCAAAATTGAGATGTTGCTTGATGCAAATATGAAGAGCCCTGATCTTGTAATTCAAGAGATGGCTAGGAAAATGAAACAGAAGTTTGACAAGTATTGAAATGAGTACAGTGTCATTCTTGCACTTATAGTAGTTTTTGATCCAAGATGGAAGTTTAATATAATACAATATTGCTATACGAAGATTGACCCTATCACTTGCCATGAGAAGGTTGCTAATATTAAGAGCGAGTTAATATTCATGTTTAATGAATATTCAAGTATGGGGACATCTACCAATCTTGGAGTTGATAGGGCTGCAAGTGGATCAAGTTATAAAGCTTCAACAGTCACTACTCATCATTCTTCCTTGGCTTCAAGTGTTTCAACATTAACCTCTTTTGATGATGCCTTTGATGTAAGTTTAAATTCCTTGTCTTTTTAAATTCTTTCACTTTTTTCATTAATCTAGTATTTGTTTGATTTTTTTTAATCCTTTATAAATACATGATGCAGGATTATTAAGATATTTATGTAATTATGGACCATTCTTCCTTAGATAAGTTTGAACTTGAAAACCATTTGGAGGAACCAATACTAAAGCCTGATAGTTAAAAAGAATTGGATGTCTTAAACTGGCGGAAGAGTAATCAACATCGATATCCAATTCTTTCAAGGATGGTGGCTGATATTCTCAGCATTCTGATCACTACAGTAGCAAGTGAGTCAGCTTTTAGCATTGGTTCGCGCGTCCTAACAAAGTATTGGAGTTCCATTCTTCCAGCTAATGTTCAGGCTATCATTTACGTTCGTAATTGGTTACATGGTTTTGTGTATAATGATAATTTTAATTTATATTTATTTTATTTTTTACCATACAAATTGCAAACAACATGAGAAATAATAACTATAATTGTGTAAGTATTTTTATTTATTATTTATTGCAGATAATGAAGGTGAAGAAGAAGAAGAAAGTCTTGATATTTTTACCCCTAATGAGCCAACTATAAGTGGATCACAATTAAATTTTGTTGAGCTTGATCATAGCGAAGAAGAAGAAGATAATGATGATGCTACCAATTTTGAGTTATTGAGTATTTAAGTATATTTATTTAAATATTTTCATGAGACTATGGTTTTTGGTGGTAGATACTGTACTGGATAGATTCAGCTCATCTTGACTTCATTGCATGCTATCATTTTCATTTAAATTGTGTTTCTAACATCTAGCTCATTTAGATGTTTTGTTTCTTTGGATATTGCTACTTATTTATTGTGGTTAGTTTGATTGTTTATTGCTTATTGTTATTTAGCTTGTGTCATAAAGGAATGATTGAATCAATTTTAATTTGAGAAAAAAAATAAAAAAAGGCAAAAGGGCTCGAAGCCCGCAGGGCCAACCCTAAGCCCGTTATGCTTAGGGCCGAGTTTTAAGATTGAGCCCCTCAAAGGAAACTCAGGCTTAAACCGGCTGGCCGTTTTAGGCCTGAGTCCTTTAAGGGTCGGCCCTATAGGGCCGGGCTAGCCCATTTTTCCAACTCTACGCATACGTAGACCAATTTGTTACCCTACTTAAGGATTTAGGATTTCAGTGCCCTTTTCGGTTTGACTTTAGTATTAGTGGTATTTACTATTGGCTCATTATACCATGTTCTAAATAACATTTCCATGTTTTATTACCTTTTTATATCGATTTATAAGATAATGTTAGATAAGATCATTCACATCAACAAAATTTATGTAATATTCTCTCTATTTAAAAATATAAGGTATTTTCAATTGAATCTCGCTTGCAACAAAGTAATTACCTACTTTCAAACTAAATTCCATCTTTTTATATTCACCTCTATTAAACACTCTATAATAAATATAAAATCATTTATCAATAGGGATATTTAAAAAAAAGACAATGACTATACCTCAAGAAACTCAAAATGTCTTACATTTTTAAATACCTAACTTTTTAAAAAATATCTTATATTTTTTAATGAAAGGAATGTACTTTAAAACATAACTTTCAAAAAAACCCTCCAATTAACATTCTATTTGTAAAATAATATTAAAGATAAAAGTACAATGGAAAGAATAATATTAAAAAAAGAGAAAATAAAATCATCAATCCTTATCATTTTATCGAATTTTATTTTAATAGTTTTTTTTCAATATTTTTGATCTCATATAGGCCTAAAAATTAAATGTCACCTATTTTTTTAAATTATAGAGATTGAAAATACAAAAAAAAACTACATAGATTAAAAATAAAACTCAATATCTATAAGGATTGATAATTATATTTTTTCTTAAAAAACTATCATTAAATTTTATTCTTATCAAAATATTTTATATTTTAAACTTTCAAGTCTTTTTCAAAAATAATTTATAAATTAGGAGAGGGATTATTTGGGAATCTTTTTATTTGCGTTTACTCTGTATTATTATTATTGTTGTTGTTGGCGGATAAAATCACGTATAAATAGCAATTAATGCAGTTACGTTTCACGTACAAAAATCAGATGCAGGAGAGGTAACTTTGACGGCAATCATTAGAGGCGTGATTATAGAGTG